AAGGAAGGAAGGAAGGAAGGAAGGAAGGAAGGAAGGAAGGAAAAGGGAGAGAGGAAGGAAAGGAGGGAGGGAGGGAGGGGGAGGCAGAAGGGGGAAGGGAAGGAAGAAAAGAAAGAAGGCAAACCCACGTTTGGTGTGCAGAGCACCAGCTCTCACAAGCTGTATTTAGACACACCAGAATTGCATTTGAGTTGTCCCATAATCGAAAGACTTTAAATAGTCCTAACAACATTGGTCAGGTGTCTTGCTTGCTCGTTTACTGTTTTAGTCCTGTTCAAGAAAAGAAGCTTACAAACCAAGCAGCACACCCAGCAATTCTTCCTAGCTTGGGGAAAGAAAGGTGGCATTCTGTGGCTGTTATTCTCAAATCTGCCCTTTGAGATCCCTTTAATGCCACCTACTGTTCGGCTCTGTTAGGGCTCTGTCAATGTGGAACGATGACGTTTGTTCCTTGCCTCTCTCTATCTTCAAGAAAGATGTTGCTAGGGCTAGGGAGAGGACTCCGTGCTTGCCCCATTCCCTGGAAGAACCTGAGTGACAAAGTGTATTGAAATACTCCATGGTTTTTATGGATTTGATGCTTAGAAATAATATGGATTAGTGGAAATAATGAAAGTTTTTTAACTTAGGGTAAGAGTTGGATGTATATTGTTATTTATATCTGTTGCGAGAAGGGTCAGAAGTTAATTCTTTCTTCCTTTTTCTTCGTCCTTTTTCCTTTTTGCACTTTTAATCTTTACTATTTTCTCTCTTTTCAACTTTTCTTTTTTTCCTTCTTTTTCTTAATATTCGTTCTTGTTCATTTTTATTGTTTTTTCTCAAAACTTAATAAAGTTATTATGAAAAAAAATACTCCAGGGTTTTAAAATGTCTCTGAGGCATTATGTACAGAAATGTCCTACCTGGCAGTCTTATAGTTGTTGGATGAAAAAGAAAAGATTGGAAGCCCTCTTCATCTGCTTCCTACCACTCCAGACACCCACTCACATTACCTGAAAAGTTGGAACCTCCAGAGAATGTAGGCATGTTCCTAAAACTGGGTGAACAACCTGAAGCCCTAAGGATAGTCAGCCTTCCGGGGTGTCCACAAGTCAAGACAGCAGCCGTGACGGTGTGATCAAAGCTCTGTCTGGATTTGGGGTGGGTTGCATAAGTGGACACCCCCGAAAACACCCCAGCAGTCTCCAGAGCCCTGTTCCAAATTGCCACTGATATGTAACTTGTGACCAAACAGGTAAACTCTTTAATCCATAGGCATTCATGTTAGAGTGTTCAATTAATTTGCTTAATTTAAGATCACAATGATTTATTTGTTGTTCTGAAGTTGTGAATCAATTTAAGTTAAATATCCTGAAGCCCAAAGATTGCAGGAAGATCTCTAGAGCCCTGTTAAAAGTTGCCACTGATTCATAATTTTAGATGAAACAGAAGAGAAAAACTATTAAATAGGGTGTAGTCCTGTTGTGTTTAATTAATTATCGAAATGCTATTTGAATGAGGTCAACTCAACTTCTGTTTGTTTGTCCTGGCCCCAGGAATGTCTTTGTTCTGGCTGCTTGGTTGGAAATTCCAGCCCTACATATATTTATTTTGAAACAATTTGTATGGTTGCCCATCTCACCACTGAAACTCTGGCAAAGAACAGAGATTAAAAACCTATTACGGATGTAAAGAATTATCCAAATCAATTAAAAGAAAAACCAAATCAAAGTCCTTATTAAAAAACCCACAGTCTTTAGCCAAAGTTTTGGGTGCCATTTTGGGCTGGAAACCTGGCCCATGTTTCCTAGATGAAAAGTGAGGTAGTGAGTGGCAGAGTATAATTAAAACTGGCCAGAAGAAAATGGAGGGTTTTAAGAGCCAAAAATCAGAGTTCATCTATTTTTTTAAAAAAACTTTATTATATTTTAAAAAGCAAAAAAATAAAAAACTAACACAAACTAATAATCAAGAAGCAAAGTAGAAAGCGGAAAAGCTAGAAATATAGGAAGAAAGCAAAAGTGGTAGAAAATAAGAAGAAGAAGAAAAGAAATACATTCAGATGGAGAGTTCATCTATTTAGAGGCATAGCATTTTGCAGTTACTCATCATTGATCATCGTAATCTTAAATTACAGGAAGGTTAAGTTACAGAAATGTTGAGCAACACTTTGTAATAGTAAGATTTCAACAATGGAACAAAACATTGAAGGGAGTTGTGAACTCCTCTTTGTTGTGCTCAAGCTAACACTGGAAATCTATCTGTTATGGATGTTCTCATTTGGATTCTTGTGCTGAGCAAGGGTTGAACTTCCTGTTTAAGGGTGTATATCAATCTAGTGATCAATTAAAGGATCACTGCCCAGATGTACATGCTTGAATGTTAAAGTCATACTCTGACTTAGAAGTGTTGGGTATTGTTCCATTTGGCCCAGTTGTTGATACGAAGAGCTTCCCCAGATTCCAGGCAGGTAAAGATCTGGAACCTTCTTCATGCGAAGCACAGTCTTTAACCATTGTGCTATAGTCTCTCCTTCATCTTGAGAACATGAGCAGTTCTAATCTAATTAAAAATATATCTTCTCAGACCTACATAAAGTCTATTTCATATACCCAAAGTGTTGAACGTTCTATTGTTGCTTCACCCAATTCCTCTGTTGATAGAGAGATAGAGATATATTTGTAATCAACAAAGCAACATGTTAAGTCTACACATATCCAATGATTACAATAACATAAAACTTTTTTGGATGAATTGGCAGAGATCAGTTTCCATCACTAAGAGAAAACTTTAAC